CACCGAACCCGATTTGGGTCCCACGTAGAGAAGAGCTGGGACCCACCGGGTCCCACCGAGCCCGATTTGGGTCCCACCGTAGAGAAGAGCTCGGACCCACCGGGTTCCACCAAGTACGTATCGGGACGCGTGCAAGGCTGGTGGTTTCGAGTGCGCGATTTTGGGTCCAGAAAATGTTCATGCTTCCGGCTTCAACATAGCGTTCCTCCATAGTAGGGGACTTATAACTTTACGAAGTCGAATGATCCTCCAAGTAACTAGGTTCTCGTTACCATGTCTAGCCTCAGCGTAGGGCCTGGGGGCTTGCCTGCCCAAAGAAACAGCTCCGCTCTGAGGTGGGGACCGCATCTTCCTCGGCCTGCCTTGCTGCTTCTTGTTCCATGGCGGCCTCACAGGCTCTCACGCTCGGACACGAAGCTCTTCTAACGGTACCGTGATTTTGTGACTCTGGCACAAACCCTACTGGTATCGTTTAGGGACTGTACTAAAGTCATACTCAACCAAAACTCAACCACCCGTCACGCAGTATATTTGGAAGGGAAGTCAAGCCCCCATCAAGGCTAAAGGAGTGCCAGCTGCATAGAAATTTTGTGACAAAGTAACATAAAATGATGTCAATGCTCTGCTATAACTGCTCCATGCCTGCAATGCGATACATACTAGTGCAAACTATTCAGGCCCCTATATTAACCCCCTATCACAGGAGACTTTGCCCATGTTTGCTCTTCAAACAGCCCTATAAGCTCCGTAACAGAACCGCGTATCGACTCTTCAGGGGAGGCACCAGGTCCAACAGCTTGCCCTGGGTGCCCACACCTGGGATCTTCTGCCACGTGCAGGGTTACGAGTTTTGGGGGTTTACCCTAAACGCTGCCTAGAGAGGCTACCACTGACAGGAGTTTATATCGGGAGATACAAGGCTTACATGTCATGCCTCACGATCCTAAAAACGACGGTTTTCAGTTCCCAAGGCCTTAGGAGTCGGCTGCAAACTTTCGCTGTGCGATCGTCACTGAGGCCCGAGCGCTGCTTCTTGCGAGCTGGAGCCAGGGTCTCTTTTGGGAGAAGCGGAAGTGGCTGCTCACGCATCTGATGCCTAATGGCCAGACCGTGTCCAGGCATGTAGAGGCTTTAAGACGTCCCCATATGATAGGAGTCTTGGGGTTCAGGGCTTACAGTGGCGACTACCCAAGCAGAAACTCCAAAGCGTGAAATAGGTATATTGCGACAATATACCTATGCTTGGCATGCAAGTGGAACATGCGCTGCCCAAACCGGAATGCGAAAAACGCTGCAAAGCGGAAGCCACGGAAGTGCCCCAACAAGACTTAAGAAGCTGCGTCCACCACCAGGAAACGTGCGAAACAATGAGATCACAACTTAGGTGCCTTCTCACAAGTTTGCGCACATTGGCACGCAAGTCTTTGGAATTCGCGAACGCGTGACAAAGGATTGTTTCCATTCGCAACTTGCTCCCCCAAAAAATCTCATGGCAGTCTAACGGAAAACTTACAGCAAAAGAACTCGAATTGAACTCCGTGCGTTCTGTCTGTACTCCTCACTGTTCCAGCAGAGCTTTGGGGTGTAGCGACGGCTGAAGCCCAAAGCCTAAACCCTAAACCCTTTTTTACCCTAAACCCTAACCATGGCAGGAGAAGGCCCGAGACGACTCTCAGCCATTCCGCATAACCTTAATAACTAGAACAAGGTCTTTTGGGGGTTCTTTTAAGGGTTCTAGAAGGGCTGATAGGGTTTCTTGGGGTTCCTTTAAGGGTTTCAAGTATAGGGTTTTTCGGGGTTCCTTTAGGGGTTACTATAGGGGGGTTCGGGTTTAGGGGCCTTCATAATTAGAATAGGGTTTTGGGGTTCCTTTAGGGGTTCCTATAAGGGCTACACTATAAGGGGTTTAGGGTTTAGGGGCCTTCATAATTAGAATAGGGTTTTGGGGCTCCTTTAAGGGTTCTATAAGGGCTATACTGTAAGGGGTTTAGGGTTTAGGGGTCTGAATAATTTTAATAGGGTTTTGGGGCCCATTATACTATAATGATAATGAGGATCCCCCAAAATAATATAGGTAGTTCTTGAGGCCCTTATGCTATATAGAGGTCCGCTGAAGTATTTAAACGGCCAGTTTAAAGTTATTTTTCGCCTGCCGCCTGGCTAGGACGAACCGACGGCTTGGGGCTTCTAGGGTTTATAGGGCCTCGTCAGCAAAATGCGACTCGGAGCACAGATTTGGATTTGTTCGTAGTCGAAGCTCAAGAGCTGAATCACTTGCACGACCTGAAGGACTACCGGACTTAGGAAGTTGGCTGTTACCTTATAGAGAAGGCCTTAGTGAGAATAGGCTCAATGTTAGAGTGTACATAAAGGGGAGCATCAGCATAAGTGGATACTGATACTGTTAATAACTCCGATGTCTATATTAAGCTGTTAGTATCAGCCTCTCCCTGATGCTCCGTGCTTGTCTTGGGAGCGAGCGCACTTCTCACGTACTCCTGCTCGAGTGCCTTCGCCTGACACCAGGTCTCATCTCATGGCTCTGCTTCTGCAGAAAGCCGTATCTCCTACACCCTGAATAGTCCTATAAACCTCTATTGCTCTACATGCAAACCTTTGTGAACAACTCACCGTCTGGCTGCCTGCATCAAGCCCTTACGGCTTCAAGAGCCATCACATGCGGTCACAAGACTGTGCAAGGGATGGACATGCGTCTGCCATTCTTCCCACCTCGCGTTCCTCCACGGACAATGGTGCTGCGTCCCTCGGGCGACGAGGAGACAGCACCCTAAACTTTTAGGGGCTGCGCCCTTGTGCGTCAGCACAGCATTTTCTATCAGAAGCTACGTCAATTGGAATTATGAAGCTTAATCCGCCAGCACCAGCCATGCAAACTGTTTTCGATTTCGATGTTTGTGTGAACACGGAAGGCCTGTCGTTTGGGCTTTCGCGGGGAGGGATCTGGGCTTTCGTTGGGAGGATTTCAGGCTTTCGTGGGGAGGGATTGGGGCTTTCGTGGGGATTCGTTTTGGTGGGGAGGGATCTGGGCTTTCGTCGGGAGGATTTCGGATTTTCGTGGGGAGGGATTCGGGTTTTCGTGGGGTTTCGGGCTTTCGTGGGAAGGATTTGGGGAGGGGGTTACGCATTGCTTAATTCATGTAAGGGCCTCAATAATTGGAATAGCCTTTTGGGGCCCATTATACTATCATTATAATAAGGAACCCCCAAGATAGTATTGGTAATTTAGGCCCCTAAAATACAGCCTTTTGGGGATCTTCGCCTCGTGACTGAGCATCTGGCGGCTCTTTTGCAGGCAGGGGTTCAATGCCGGTCCGCCTGCGCAGTTCTAGAGTTTGGGTTTAGGGTTGTAGGATTTAGGGTTTAGGGTTTTAGGTAGGAGTTTGGGATTTTAGGGTTTAGGGTTTAGAGTTTAGGTTTAAGGGTGATATAAAACCGCACTTCCGATAAAGGAACCCTTGAAGGAATGGACGCAAGCCCTGGATGACTCACCATTTTCCAATCCTACGACCCCTACCTCCATGAGGCAAAGCTGCTGCACATGAAGAGGCCAGGTTGCTCAACGGCTTGTGCTAGGTTTCAGTTTGCAGAGCGGATAGGATGTGTTTGTAGGCTTGTGATTACTGCTAAAGCAGTGACACTGCCCCGATGCTCTGTTTGCAAGCAACATCCAGCCATTAATGTAGGGGCCTTAGTAATTAGAATATGGTTTTGGGGATACTATATTTATAAAGAAGAAACCCCTGAAATAGTGTTGGTAATTATTGAGGCTACCGGTGATGGACCTTGTTCCATGACGTTGCTGCCTCAGTGTCATGGTGTCACAACTAGACTACTTTGGGAGGTTTTAGGGCGGATCTGGCGCCTGTTGAAGCTTCGCGCTTGAGAGACCTCCCCGGCCAACAAGCGCTTGTTGACACTTTTGTTCAGCTGCGCTTCCTCTTCGAGGTACGCCTGTCGCGGAACAAAGCAACCCGAGAGAGCGCTTGCCTTGCCGGCTATGCAAAGCATGCGAGCGTCTGCTGCTAAGTAGCGCCGGCTGCTGGTGACATTTGTCACCGTTTGTGCGACACGATGCCGCAAACCTATTGTTGCACTTCCGCATGAGCATCCTGCGTGTCCGATTATCTGATCTGCAATTCGTTTCAATCAGTCCGCTACTCATGCTGGTTTCTCAAAAACATTGCTCATACTAAGTTACCACCGCCCCCCAAACTGTCTCACTCGGTCAGACTCCATGATGAATAACATGCCAACAAAAAATGTAGTATCATTTCGGATAACATCATATAGCATAATATCATATAGCCGGTTGTAATACAACCGAACAGAAAACCCCAAAGCTTCTCCGAGCCCAACATCGTGAAGAGCCCTGAAGGCCCGAACGCCCTCAACTCTAGTGCACCTGTCCTTAGAAGACCCATATGTAGCTCCTTTCATTCATAGACCCTTCTAAACCTGCCAGAACCATAATATGCAGCATGTTGCCTGCCTAGTGCAATATATCATCAAGTGAAATTCTACCCCGCAAACGCGCCAGTGGGGCAGTCATTCCACTGGCTTCGGCCTGTTCAGCCTGCCAGAGAGTCTAGATTCCAGTGGGGTCTAGTTAGTCTGTATATACGAACAAGACGTGCAAATAAACAGGGAAATGTACAAATGTGTCTGTGTGTGTGTGTGTTTGTGTTTGTGTTTGTGTGTATTTACCAATATAGATACATAAATACATACAGATAGGTACATATATATATATACATATCATGTTCATATTCATATACTTATAGTGTGTTTGTATATATATATATACATATGTCATGTGCGTTAAGATCACCGTTATTTATTTGATTGTCCTGTTTTGTCAATCTACTTAAACCGCTTCGTTCATGCCTCTGGCATTTTGACACAGGCTAAGAAGAAAACCATCAACGTGCTCTTTTACCGTGTAGCAACGTACTGATGCATTCCATTGGAAGAAACTACAACATGTCTGCAACTTTAGACCGCGGGGTCCATTTTTGCACCATAGTCCCTCATACTCATCCCTGCTGCTCTATGCTGATCTAACCACAAAGTATGTAACTTTCTACTAACCTTGCATTAGCCATATGTAGTGCTGTCAAAGTATTCTGATAGTAACCTGCAATGCGGTGCGCGATGCTCGGCTGGCCTTTTTTCGACCTGCTTCGGTATCACCCGATCATATGCATCTGTGGGTGTGCACGTCGTTCCTAAAACTTAAACAGGACAACAACATTTACTGCATGAGCCTGCATTAAGCATCACTAACACGATCACTACGGAGTGTGCGTGCGCGTGTGTGTTTGTGGGTGTCAGGCGACATTCATCTGTTATCGCCTTGTAGCTGTGACCACCCTTGTCTCTTTTTCCGCGTATTCAATGCTGTAAAGCCTTAGCAGAACCCTAAACCCCTGAACCCTAAATCCTATAGACCTCAAACCCAAAACTGGTGAACCCCTAAACCCTTAAACCCAAAAGCCCAAACCCTAAGCCCTAAGCCCCTAAACCCCTAAACCCCTAAACCCAAAAGCCGAAAGCAAAGGCAGATTTGATGTTATTGCCAAGAAGAAATGCTCACATCGACCCCCCAGGATCGGCCTGAACAAAGCCAAAATATTTAGAGGGTTTAGGGGTTTAGGGTTAAGCTGTTAAGCTTTAGGGATTTTAGGGCTTTTAGGGTTTAGGGTTTAGGGTTGGGGGTTTAGGGGTTTAGGGGTTTAGGGCTTTTAGGGTTTAGGGGTTAGGGTTGGGGGTTTAGGGTTTTTGTGGATCCTTGTTTTGGATAGCCAAGTCTAATTTTTCAGGATCCTAACGAAAGAAACGGATAAAGCAAAAAGGAACTGTAATAACAAGGGAGGCTGTGGATAGGGTCTAGGGGCAAGTCTGATCACTGCATATAAATCTGGCATGGCATGCTCTGAGAAGCAGCACATGAATGATTCAAGCACTACCACTGCAACGTAGAGTTGACAAGAGCCCCCCCACACACCAAACCAAATAACACACCCAAGCTCAGCTGTGGATTTGCGATGCTGACACGCTGAACGAAAGTGTACTCTCGAAGGCAGGCCAGATTCCGTCACGTCACGAACGCATGGTGGACAAGCCTTCGAACTAGAGCACTCAAAACTTGGGTTGGCGCCGTCAGGTGGCAAGCGGACACCTGATTCGCTCATGCACCCACGACATCATGGCTTCGCCTGCACATGTGACAGTCTTTATTTAGAAGCCGAAAGGGTAAAAAAGATGAGACCTGCAAGGCTGCAAGGTCTTGTTATCAGAAGCAATTCTTGGCAGTCATGTCGTCGCTCTCCTTCCAAGTAGGCATGAAGGGTGCTTAGATGAAGGGGGAGACCTTGCGGACGACGCCGCGGCCCTGGCTGTAGTGGTAGAGGGTGGTGTAGCCCAGGTGGAAAGGCAGCCAGGCGTACTGCAACACCTTGCCCAGAACCTTGTGAGCGTCGATGGACTGCTTGGCCAGGCGGTCGTTCCTGCGATCGTCCTCCGCATTGCCGGTCTTGTCAGAGCCGGGAGCCCACTTCAGGAAGTACTCGTTGGCGATGCCGGATACGGGCAGGAGCAGGGCGAAGGCGTAGAAAGCCCGAAGGCTTTGCGTCTCGATCATCTGCACGATTTTGTTGCCCGGGAAGCGTGGTGGGATGCCGCTTTGCAGCCGGAAGATCACACGGAAGACCAGTGCCACCAGCATCACAATGCCCGTCTGCTTGTGCCACCAGAGCATCTGCTTCTTGGCTTGGCCTTCCGAGTAGGATGCAGCCTGGGCGGTGCCCACAGCCCCGAAGATGCCAACGGCCATGATGAGGTGCAGATGCCTCAGCGCCCGGCTGTAGGTGAATTGCGACAGGGGCTTGCGGTTCTGGAAGGTCTTGAAAAGGTACCAGGCCAGGGCAGCAATCGCCACGTCTGTGATCTTGTACTTCATGTAGCGGCCAATCTCAGACGTCTCCTCGCCGACCACCTGCTGCACTGCAGCCGTCTCCGACCAGTCCGTGTTCTCTGCCGGCACCAGCTGGCCCACCAGCATGTCGCGGTCTCGCTGCACCCGAGCCTTCTCAGAATGCTCGAAGACTTCGAAATCCTTGGTGCAATCTGTGCCTGCCTTGGACATCAGGATGTCGTCGCCACCGGGGTGGCTGCCCAGCAGAGGCTTGAGGTTGTAGACACGGTTGTGGATGATCATATACGGCTCCTCTGCGGTGTTGTGCTTGGCCACCTCTGCACGGGAGAAGAAAGGCAGGTCCTTGCTGGCGGAGATCTCCGCCAGCTTCGGGAAGCGGCTCTCCTCCGAGAGCGTCGGAGCATCCGTCTTGCCCGGCACCTTGACGGCCGTCTTCACTGCCTCGATTTCCTCCTTGGAGGGGCCTTCGAGGCGCCGCAGCTCATCGTGCAACTCCTGCAGCTCCAGGATGATGGAGTCCACCGGCTTCTCTGGGCCGACCTTACCGGTCTTGAACTCCGGGCGCATGTAGTACTCCATCCACTGCTTGCTGGGGAACCGACCTGGGATCTTGTCGAACATGGGCGTCGCATCCCGGCCGGCCCAGGCCAGGATGGAGTTGCGCTGCTCCTGGTGGTGCTGCAAGAAGTCCGTCAGGTCGTAGACCTCGCCAGAAATGGCGATCCAGCAGTCGTGCGGCTTGTTGTGCCGGGCCACCTCCGACAAGGGGATGTCACTGCTCGTCCAAGCCATGGGTACATCGTGCTTGTGCGCGTGGTCCTCGTGCGAAAGGAGCTCCTCCATGGCCCGCTTCACCTCAGCCGCCTTCGCAAAATCCTCGGCATCCAAGGCGGCCCGCTCTTGCGTCTTCAGGCGCTGGAGCTTCTTCTTCAGCTCTGGATCAATATTCTTATCCTGGAGGAGCCTCGGGATGCTGTCGGCTTTGTGTGTTTTGGTGCATCGGCTGAGCAGGCGGTCGACCTCCTGGCGGATCTCCACGATCCGGGCCCCGCGCAGGGTGTGCCAGAAGTCGTCGGACATCAGGTTCTCGTCAACTCCCAAGTCACCCAAGAAGGCCTCGGGAATACTAGGGTTTAGGGTTTAGGGTTTTAGGTTTTAGGGTTTAGGGTTTAGGTTTTAGGGTTTAGGGTTTAGGGGTTAGGGTTTAGGAATACTCTATTAGAGTAATTACCTGCAATGTGCCACTATAGGGCAGCTAGAACGCACGATCATTTGGGTTACTACAACCACTAAACCCTTAAAGCCCCAAGAATGATCGTGCTCACCCAAGAATGCCTCGGGCCGAAGGTAGGCGTCGATCTTCACGCCCTTGTGGATTTCATTGAAAAACTTCGAGGCATCCTCCGGGCTCTTTACGTAACCAGGGAGAAGGTCGACAATTACAATGTAATACAATATAATACAGTACAACACTCTTATGCTCCATAATGTTATAACGTATTATGTTTCCTGCTATATACATATATATATATATATATATATATGGATATGTATATATATATATATATACACGCACACACGCTATTTCATACCCTAAGGCTCGAAATAGCACAAAAGCTTTGTATAGTGCGGTCATGTGTGGTAGGGCCGGGGGGATAACGGTAAGTCCAAAAAGTATAAAAGCATACCCTAAACCCTTTTGAACGCGGTCTCTCTGAAGGTCCTCCAAGCTGCCCGCCACATCGATGACTCGACACCCTAAACCCTAAACCCCTTTGAAACCTGAACCCTAAACCCTAAACTTAAACCCTAAATCCTAAAAGTACGGTACTCCCGAACCCAGTCCTTCCCGGCCCAGGCGAGGATGGTGGTGGGACCACCAGGATGTCGGTCCATAAACTCCGACAAATCATAGACCTTTGAGGGTTTGGGGATTAGGGGTTTAGGGGTTTAGGCTTTTGGGATTAGAGGTTTAGGGTTTTGGGATTAGGGCGTCAGGATCTTGATACAGGCTTTGTGGAGTTTGCAAGTCATAGACCTTGCCGTTCAGCGCCACCCAGCAGTTCTCAGGCGTGCAATGGCGGTTCACCTGGGAGCTTCAAAGAATAGTGTAGGATCCTTGTTCCGTTTATCGTGACTACTACTGCTATTCGTATGGTGGACTCCTAGACAAGGTTCCCCTAGTTGCCCTAAACCCCCAAACACTATATAGATTCTCAACCCTACTGGGCCCTTACAAACCTACCTGCTTGGTGTTGTGTCATGTGTATACGAGGTAAACCCTGTGCAACCCACCTCGGAGAGCGGGATGTTCTTGGAGATGGCGGAGGTGCCGGGCTCGTGAATGACTTTCTGCTGACACTCAGGGACCTAAGGTCCGAGCGTTAGAGAAACACCTTAAGCAAATGAATAAACACACACACAAACAAACATATGTACATACATGTTATATCTATATTTGGGTTTTAGTGTTTGGGGTGTGCGGTTAGCTTTGTAGGGTTTGGAGGTTAGAGTTTAGAGGCTTGATTTTTGATTGGATTTGGGGTTTGGTTATAGGGCTGCAAAGTTCGATGTGCGCAAGGTTTTATTGGGTTTAGAATAATAAGGCTTTGATGTACTAGGGCCCTGAAAATCCCCTTAAACATTTGCTTCGGGGTCTACTGTCACTACTGGGTTTCATCATAAGATTACTGCTGTGAAACTCAGGGACGCTTGCCGGATGCTCGTCGGTGTACTTGGCGGCCATGACTGAAGGCAAAGGCGGCGACGAGATGAGAAAAGCAAAGACACCCGAACGATCAGTGGTAAGTAGATGCGAATCTTAGGCTTTGTTTGTGCAACTCATTGAAAATGTCTGCAGCACTCGTCTGACGCAACACCTCGCGCACGCCTTCCTGCGATGCTTGCTACCGATTTTCAAACATGGGCAGTCGGGAGGTCCACACAGATTCATCCTGTACAGTAATTGATGTAGTATGAAGCGCACTGAGGACGAACAGTCTCAGAGTGGGGGCTTTGGCTAAGTATGAACCCGATTTCGGCGCGTGACGGTACTGTTCGCAATCGGACTTGTGGTGCCGCGCGTGCGGCATGGACAGGTATCTTTAAGGGAACCTTGATACACGATGCGGTAAAATAACAAATTTTACAAACTCTATTGTACTCTTCGATACTGTACTTGACTCAAGTTAGTGTTCGTTGCTAGACATTGCAGTTGTAATACAGTTTAACATACTTTCCTTGCTTTCACTGTACTAAACTAGACTTCACTATACTTCACAGTACTTCGCTGTGCTTCACTGTGCTTTACTAAACGCTTCTTCACTTTATTTCACTCTCTCTCTCTCTCTCTCGCGGACTCAGAGGTCTGTCAGCCGCGCGGCCGTCTAACACTTCGTCAGACACCGAAAAGAACCACTACAGAAGCTACAGTTACTATGCTGTACGTAGTTTAACTGCCCCTTACTACACTTTGCGATGCTGTATTTATTACTTTACTAAACTGTGGACTTTACTATGCTGATACTTTGCGATATGAGACTATACGATGTTATACGATAACCCCTGGCTCAAGCATGCAGGAAGCAAGACTTTCCTGCAAAACACCCTCTCGGAGCCGTGCCAAGCTTGCGCAGCGGAAGACCTACCCTAAACCCTAAACCCTAAACCCCAAACCCTCAACCTGCCTTGGAACGTGCACTCCGGAGGAGCATTGCAGCCACCATCCGGTCCTGAAGCCGGGTGTAAGGGTTTAGGGGTTTAGGGTTTAGGGATTAGCGGGAAATGCAGCCTGCGTTGGTTGTCAATCAGGGATCACACCCCTATCTAGGGATTCAAAGGCAAACAAACTCAAACCATGGATTCGTGTAAGGATGGTGTTGGCAGGAACCTACCGTGAATCTAATTTCACAGAAGAAAGCGGAGTGGTCCGACCCTTCCCGCAAACTCGGGCTGCGGTCACTTGCTGATGGTATCTTGCCTTATTCCATGTGGCTTGCATGAGCCTGCACACCGATTCGCCGATCCTTGACTACGTTTTCGGAACGTATGTCCAGCCGAAAGTGAACGAAGCCATTGCGTCAACGTGCACCAACAGTGCACCTGGAAGAAGATCGCATGGGCCGAACACGACGAACAACCGAAACTCGAATCACTCATCTAAGCCTTCAAAACTTTGAAATCAAGCCTGAAACCCTAAACCCTGAAATGATTGAATCTACGTCTGAGCTCCCCCTTTCAGCGCCTGCTTCTCCTCTGGGGAGAGCTCAACTTTGGGTTCCGGGGGAGGTTCCTTTGGCTTGTCCTGGCCCAGGCACAACTCTGTAACATGGTTTAGGGTTTAGGGTTTTAGGGTTTTGGGTTTAGTGGTTAGGGTTTAGGGTTTTAGGGTTTAGTGGTTAGGGTTTAGGGGACTATTGCATGAGAGTAAGTAGTCATTTGGGCTTCTATCTTGGGGTGTTTCGAGTTTTTTTTGGGGCCTTGAGCTCTTGGCGGTTTGGGGTTTAGACTGACTTACTTATGTACGTTAAAGCCCTATACTTCATGATGATCTATGCTGGTCGGTGAAAAAGCTTGGGACGGCCCACCATCCATCGGTATCTCCCCCCACAACTCGGGCTGAAAGAACCAACGGCTGAGCCATGCTTCTACAGGTAGCTGAGCCACACCACTCGAGGGCCGGGTCCTGGGCGAAGTACTTGTCCAGTTCTTCGTCCAATGTGGCGGCCTGAGACCGGACCTGTCTGTGAGGTTTAGGGTTTAGGTTTAGGGTTTAGGGTTCAGGGTTTAGGGAAATTCTTTCCGTTTCGGGTTTCGGCGCTGGGGTTTGGGGTTTTTGAAGCCTGAAACAGTCCAATGAAAGTTGTGAGGCTGGGGTTTCAGGGGTTGGTGGTGCTAACAGAGCGCTGTGTCGAGAAAGCCGGGGCTATGCATGCAGGTATTCTGACACGGTCCTGGCATTCGCTTCCGTGCCATGCAGTTTTCCGGAACTAAGTAAGGGAAGATCTGCACCAGCAACAAACATTTTCTTGGGTGTGCTGCCATCGTCAGACGTTCACCTTGAGGTGCTGAACAAGCCAGGCACACAGCAATGAGCAAGCTGACATATGTTCCAGCCACACTATTCGGGGCTGAAGTAATGCCTAATACGCGTCGAGTTCTCGACGCATGAAAGTCGCGACAGTGGCGCGTGCCAGTTCGTCGATCAACGCTGCGGCCTTTGAATGGGTCAATGATGCACCAGGTCAACTTCGACTTCAGCAGTCGTAGAAGCAGTTGGGACTCTGTTACTTACCAGAAACAACACCCATGCGGGAGCATCGAAGACCCAAAGGCGCGTCAGCCACAAGCGATGAACAAATGCTTGAAGCATTCGGCCAACTAATTTGAAAATGTCGGAAAGTGTATTATTTGGATGGGCTCCAAAGGGGCAGACTCACTGAGAAGGCGAGCATCCAGAACCATCCTCGTGCCTAAGCAGCTGCGTTTGTCCAGCTTCCGTCCTACACGAAGGCCGAACACCCAAACTCCAAAGACAACTAAGGGGAGCTTCAACAAGCATCATAAACAAGGACATGGATGATCGCTCTCTTTTCGAACTAGAAGACCACGCCAAGAGTCGAATCACCACATCCTGCAGTAAAGCCCAAACCCACCAAACCCATCTCAAAGCCCTTGACCTGAAACAGCTCGAAACACTCAACTCCAACTTGCCCTTGGATGCCCTTGGCATCGACAGGAAAAGGAGTAGCCCTAAGCGTAGGAGGTACTGACCACAGTCCGGGAAACATGCCCGTTCTCCATGTCGTGCAATTCCGGAACTCTGGTTCCTACCTGTTGCTACACTCCAAACCCCGGCTTTTGTTGCAGCAGCGTTTCAGTGACATGGATCCAGTCTTTAGGCTCGTCATGGACACGTCGGCAGATTGATCTCCCATAGTCCTCTCAGCCAGTTCTGGTTTTTCCCTAAACCCTAAGCCCTAAACCAACCTTGCGTTCATCACTGCCGGCCTCACACTGCCACAGAGGTCGCAGTGCTCAGAGTTCTCGTGGTTCATGGCCGTGCAAAAATCGCACTGCCAGCCGGTGAAGGGGCTCCACAACGGATTGCAGCAGTCCTGTTGGCAACACATCTGGATGCACGAAATGTCAATCAAGGTAGCTCTTTCACACGTGCGCCGCGTAAGGGTGCTCAGAAAAACCCGGTTGCGACGAATTGGCCAAATCCAGTGTTCATCTATGTAGCACTGCAGAATGCCGAAAGAAGACATGGACGACGGATACTGTTGTACACCCCATGAGCGGCTGCAATTCATGCTGCGGCTTCGGAGCTACTTCGTAGTTGAGGACTTTTTTTTCAAGTGGCCCACAGGGCCAGCACGAAGCACCCACAGCTCCATTAGAGCTTTTATGTATGCTGGCAGGACCCTAAACCCTCAACCAAGGATGGGCCATGCAATGCTCCCCCTCCTTCTTTTTCGCCTTCAGCGTGCCAAGGGCAACCGCCAAGGCGGCATGAAATGGGCAGCACTGCGCGCTCAGGTAGCTGAAGTTCCAGTGTTTGAAAAGCCAGATCAGGGATGTGGAGACACAAGCAGGTCCTGAGCACAAGGTTTTGCAGGGTTCAGGATATAGGGTTCACCAAGCTGATCAAGCTCAGTGTCACGCCGAGAAAAACAGCATGTGCCTCCCTAAACCCGAAGCTCCTAGACCCCCAAGCCCTAAATTCCTAAACCCGTATCCCTGAGCCCTGAACCCTAATTGAACCCTAACCCCCCAAGCCCTGAGCCAGACAGCCTCTCGGGCCCCGGCTGGTCTGTGGCCAACATTGGGCGGTGAAGCGAACGCAGGGATACTGCTGCTCGTCTGGACCTTCTCACGCTTAGTTTTTGTTTTTGAACGTCCCTTTTCCGTCTCGCATGTAGGGTTTTGGATGTAGGATTTTTCTACTTCCAGGGTGTGGGCAGTCCCGACGGTGCCGCGCCAAAGCCAGATCGTCCATATGCGCGCCACCACTGGAAGAAAGGCATGCGTGGGTTTAGGTTTGGTCCACTCCTCTGTCACACGAAGATCGTGGCCCAAAAAATGCTGAAGTAAATGTCCATTTAGGGCTCCATGAAGGCTCCCTATCAAAGGGGTATGGCAATACTTTATTGATAAATTTTGCCATCAGCCGTAGCATCCAAACCTCGAGCTGTGGGGTGCCTAAGAAACCCTAAAGTTTAGGGTTTGTCTTATTCGGTTTAGAGTTTAGGGTTTAGGGTTTAGGGTTTAGGGCCAGAAACCAATAACCCTGAACTCTAAACCGAATAAGACAGTCTTGCGGCCATGGGCACCCTCGCCACCAGAGCTGTCCGTCGAGAAACAGGAGCCCGAGAAGCCTCCGGAGCGGGGCCGTCAAGGCTCTCTTTGGCGGTTTATAAAGTTTATGAAGACTTTAGGGTTTAGGGTTTATGAAGAGTTTATTTAGGGTTTAGGCGCTTAGGGTTTAGGCGGTATGTAAAGTTTATCAAGAGTTTAGGGGTTTCAGGGGGTTGAGAGGAGTCTGTAAGGCACTGTAAGGATTCTGTCATACAGAGGTCTTCGTAATTCCAATATATGGTTTCGGGATATATGTATCGAGTACGAATACGGGGACTTTCACGGTTTTCTTCCCACTTGGTAGAGTTTAGGGTTTAGGGTTCTAGTACTTAGCTCATTGTCAGGGGTTTAGCAAGGGCATCATGGGGTGCGATAGCGGGTGTTGCGGCGGCTGCCTGGGTGTCTGACAGACAGTGGGTGACAATAGGGGTCCGACACTTTAGACTTGCTTGCGATTTACACTTGATTTCTGAACCTCACATCTCATCAGCGCTTTCAGCTTGGCCATACTTTAGTCAGGCCGGGTCTGGTCGTTTCTCGCAACGAGTATGTCGGCTCTTCTGTCTTGCTAACTTGAGGTGCGCACGATCTGCCCAGAAACGCAGTTTTGACCCGCGAAGCCCTGAAGCCCTAAAGCGTGACCCTAAACCCTAAAGCCCTAAACCTAATGAAATCCCTGGGGGCCTGAACCCTAAATTTTATGAATCACACCTAGAGCTCCCTAGCCCTGAAACCCAAAGCCTCGAAAACCGAAATCCCCCCAAAACGGTCTAAACCCTAACATTCAACAAGCCCTGCATCCGAACACCCTAAAGCTCGAAACACTACGAATTCTTCTGGAAGCCTGATAGAAGACTTATCGAACCCTTGTAAACCACTTGTAGAGGGAAGGAAGGGCTGATTTGGGCCATCAAAGCCAGCGCGACTGCTCCGATGCATCTCGCTGCATCGGGCACCATCTTCCCTTCAAGCCCCTCCCCTAAGCCCGAAACCCTAAACCCCTAAACGCTAAATATATAGTAAAACCGAAACCTCACAGGGGCAAAACCTAGGCACCCCACGGAATACTCTCGAAAGCCCGGTAAGAGACGCTGTCCAAACACCATGTAAGTCCCCGCGCCCCTGCAAGTCTAAACCTTACACTTTAAACGCTGGTTACGCTGGTTCACCGGGACCACACAGTGGGAGAGGTGTTCCGGGTCAACACAGGACAACAACCCGGCAACCTACTGGCCGGAACCACACAACAGTGTGGCCCATAGCAGAGCAGTATGGGCCTGAAAATCCAAACCCCCCAGCCCCAAACCTGACGCTAAACCTAAGCACGTCACCCTAAGCCCTTCTAGTAGCTTCAGGGCTCCCTTCTGAGCAGAACTCTTAACCGTGAGCTCCAAGCTGCCCCAAGCCCTAAAGCCCTAAAGCCCTAAACCCTAAACCCCAAGCCCAATGCTTAAGCTGAGCTTAGGTGCTCCGGCTCCGAAACTTGTTCTTCTTCTTCTTCTGCAAGGCCTGGGCTGGCCCAGAGAGCTCAATACCCTTTAAGTTGAGGGTGAGTTCGACTCGCACACTCGCTCAAAGCAGGCACGGATTTAGGCAGAGATCTCACTACCCCCCAACTTATATAGTATGAAGTAAGGTGCTAGTAGAATTATTAACTACACAGGACTCCCTGGTCGAGAGGATTCGGCGGAGGCTGCTGCCCATCAAATTGGGTCTTGAGTCCAAAGGGGCATCTATCATTAAGGGGTTTAGCTTGTTGGGGGGCATCCATCAACTTGTCTATGGGGTTCTAGAGGACTTTGTAAAACGTTGTGTGAGGAGGTCTCGCGGTTCAGAAGGTTCGTTGTAGGCCCCTTAAGTATGGGACAGGGCTTTATGTGATTTACAGCAAAGAACATAAGTTAAGGTGTATGACATGTGTATGAGGCGTCATGAACGATGGGAGTTTGGCTCTTCAGAGGCGCTCGGGGTTCGAGGACACTGTGTTGGGGGCCCACACACACACCCAGACTCTGCACACACGCCTTCTGCTTCAAGCACGGAGGTCCTACAACCTTTTGCTTTTGGCGCGCACCCCGTTTTCTTAAGCCATAAACCGTTTGGAGAAAAGCAGCGGAAGCTACTTAACACTTGCTCACTAGACCTGGCAAAGACTGGCAAATGCTTGCGAAAAATCAAGCCAAAGACAGTGCACAGCGAAGAACATTTTCCACATACGGCCTTTACTGGACAGACCTCTCTGACTTGAGCAGCTGCATGCTTCGTGATACAGAAATTGGCGAGGCATCCTAAACACGGCTGGTTAATGTAGGGGCCTTGATAATTAGAATAGGGTTGCGGAGCCCATTTTACTATAATGACAATAAGCAATCTCCAAAATAGTAGTAAGTATTTAGGCCCTATGTTACGCATTTCGACCTGTCGGGAGCACATGAAACACCTTTCCATTCAAGCCCCGGCTCCCCGTGGCTTGAAGCCTCAAACCCCCATTCAGCCCTGTTCCTTCAACCAATGAGGGCCTCGTACTTCAACTCTGAAGACCATCATCCTAAATACCTCAAAAGCCCCAAGAGCCATTTTCCGCAAACCCCCTAAGCCTCAACCTCTAAACCTGCAACTGAAGCCCCAAGAGCCTGTGCCCTTGGCATTAGATCCCAAGAGCCCCAAAGCCTAAACCCTAAACCTTAAACCTTGAAGGTTTTAGGCTTCAGGGCTCGGGTTTCTCTGGTTAACCCAAACCGCTTTTACTCGCCTGCAGTCGAGAGAGCAAGGCTTAAGGTTTAAAGTTTAGGGTTTTAGGGTTTGGGGTTTTAGGGTTTTTTTCCCTTTCGCATGGCAGAGAAGGTTTAGGGTGTAGGGTTTGGGGTTTTAGGGTTTAGGGTTTAGGGTTTTAGGGCTTCAAGGGTTTAGGGTGTAGGGTTTGGGGTTTTCGGGTTTAAGGGCTTAGGGTTTAGGGCTTCAAGGGTTTAGGGTGCAGGGTTTGGGGTTTTAAGGCTTAGGGTTTGGGGTTCTAGGATTTGAGGGTTTCGGAGCGCCCAGCGGCTGGCAAAGCATCCGACCTCGGCCTAGGAGGCCTGGCTCTGGCGCACTGCGCGCAAGAGAGCCCGTCTCGCCTCAGGTTCCGGGTTTAGGGTTTAGGGTCCTTTTTTTGTTGAACTCCTTTGTGGGCCTGCCCGATCCTCCAAGGAAATCCAAGGAGGGTGTAGGGAGTTTAGGGTTTAGGGTTTGGGGTGGCTGAGGGGTCTACCTTAACCCTAAATAACCTAGTTGTTTAAGGTTCCTTGTTATGATTTCTTAGTACTATTTAAACAGGTAGGGTCTTTAAGGGTCTAGGTCAGGTCTAAGTGTGATAGGGTTTAGCATCTAGAGTTTCTAGGGATTGGGTTGCTATTGTTGTTGCATGCCTTTTCCCTACTGCCTGGAAGAGGCTCTAGACTAAGGAACCCGCTGTCCGCAAGGCAACTGACCTACAGGTTCAGGGGCTCCAATGTAAAGCATTTGGGTTTTGAGTTTTTAAGGTTTGGGGTTTCGGCGCTCACACTCGGACAATCCAGGCGAGGCAAATACTTCGAGGTCCGCTGAGAAGTGAAACCAGAGCGAGTTCAGGATCACGCAAATAACAAAGACCCCTCGAGAGGTTTGGGGTTTAGGGGTTTAGGGGTTTAGGGTTTAGGGTTTTGGGTTTCCCTTTCTGCTAATAAACCCTAGTTACGGTTTAGTGCTTGGGGGCTTTATCGTGGCCCTGGGTTGACATCGGATATGTCGGGTAAGCCGCAGGTACTGCAACAGATCATTGGAGGTATATGGCGAGTTTTCTAAAATGGGGTCCCTTTAGTGTTTAGGGTTTCGGGTAATGGGTAGTTCTCTAGTCTGGCGTCCTTTTTATAAGGGTGCCGTCTAAATTAGGGACGCAAAAAGGACCCGAGTATGGAGAACTACCCGAAAACGGGCCCGAATATCTCAACTCCTAAGGGGCCGTACGGGGGATGGACTCATTAATCCAAGTGGCCTTCGTACCATCGGTTGCACGGTACAAGCCCTAAACCCGAAGCCCTTTTTGCAAGAGGCCTCGTTGTCCAGCAACCCTAAACCCTAAACCGTTTAGGGTTCTGGGGCTCAGAGTCAAAACGGTTCGGAGTTCTGGGTCTCATCATCAACTGTGGGGCTGAAACTGTGCCAAAAAGATTACAATTTTAGGGCTCATGTAAAGTTTAGGGATTGGGGTTTGGGGTTTAGTGCAGAAGGGCTCCCTATTACAATTATAACAACTTACAATAGTATTCCTCGGGGTTCCTTATTACAAGAATAGCAAAAACATTAGAACGATACTTCGTGCTCCATATCCTAAGCATAGCTAACAATACTACGGTTGATGATATAAGTCCTGCATTACCCGTTATGAAGAATATACCATATCTCCCACAGTTTAGGGTCCTTAAGGTAATGCAGGATTTTTATCATGAACAGTATTGCCTCGGTTTCCTCTTATCCTAAGCCCGACGCCCTAAACC